GTGGTGCACGGAGCAGCCGTCGTGGTGCAAGGAGCCTTGGTCGTGGTGCATGGAGCAGCCGTCGTGGTGCAAGGCGCCTTGGTAGTGGTGCACGGAGCAGCCGTCGTGGTGCAAGGCGCCTTGGTCGTGGTGCACGGAGCAGCCGTCGTGGTGCATGGAGCCTTGGTCGTGGTGCACGGAGCAGCCGTCGTGGTGCAAGGGGGGGGCGTTGTTGTGCAGGGCGGCACCTGTTCAATGGCGCTGGCTTCATGAGCGGCCACAGCGGAAGCAATCAAAGCGATGACGGCGGCAAGCTTCATGGTTGGTATCTAAACAGATAGGGACTTTCGGAGTCGAGGAAAGTTGGAGAATGGCCAGACAGGCACCACGAGAGACATCCAGCGCTTTTCGGTTGCATCGCGCGCGGTCCATACAAATCGCAAGACGTTGGCAACTGTTTGTACCATCACGTGAGAGGGTCGACGCCTTTCCATCTGCTACGTTAAATAGGTTTAACCACCCCACCCACCATTGTCCTGACGTCGCTACGGTGAAAGTCGCACGCTTCCATTCGAGAGAGTCCCATGCGTCATAACGAGTGCGCACCGCGTCAACGTGCATTGCACTGGAGAAGTGGCAAGACCGCGATCCCCGTGATGGACAACGTGGACAGAAGTTGCCGGTCCTACAAGTGCAATTTCGAAAAACGCAACGGCAACTGTGCCGACCATGGATTGTTAAACAAAAAACGTGTTACACCCGGATCGTTTTTACGCCGTGCCTGCCTCCATCCGTCGCTCGCTCGGCGCGCAGCGGCCGGATCGATGGGCTCGTACTCTGCTTGTATACGTGTTCGACAAGGTCGACGGACGGCTTTGCCGTCGGCAACAGGCGGAAGAGACAGCAGGCCACGGCGGAAAAACCGTGCATCCAGGGCGATCGATACAGGTTGCGGTAGGAATCGCACGGCGGCGGCCTTAGGTGCACGCCACCACAACAACAGGAGCGTCACTGATGGATGTATAGGACGCTCCGTTCCGCAGTCGCCTTTTATGCCCAATTGAACCGACGCAAGCGTCATCCCACTCTGAGCAAAAAATGAATGCAACACCCAATTCGGTGGTGGCGTGCACGGCCGCGTTGGACGGGAATCACGGGGGCACGACGTTCGGTGGTACCACGGCACGCAGGCCCCCCTCCTTCACAGAACAAACGAGGTCAACGACATGCTCCGAGAGATGCAAGTGGCCATGCAATGAATCGCCGTCAGGTGCTCCGTGCCGCATGGTCGAGACTCGCTTGAGCTGACCACATTCATGTGGTGGGCTGCACCCCACCAGAAAACGGCACCCGCCATTATTCCGCAAAAATTCTGATTGGCTGAAACATATGCCATGAATTAATTGCTACGTCAACACGACAACCTGGTGGCGGCTGTGCCGCGGTTGGTAATGGTGGTTGCCCTCGCCCGAGCTTCGTGGGCCACCTGGCGACGAACAAGGGTGCGTGGGTGTGCCGATTTCAGCGCATCGGCAGGTGCCGTGCGTTCGATCTGTGTGTTGTGAGTTGGCGGAGATTTGTAGTCGGCGTGGCGGCTAAGATCGACCAACGGTTCCCGGCTTTGGGCGATGAAGAGCGCAAGAGATGCCCCCCTTCGCAGTGCATGGCGAGATCGACCCACAGGGCGGGGAAAGTCCAAAAGGCCGGCATGGGCGACCTTCGACGATTTCCGTGGAGCGAGATGGGCACATCGTCTCGCGCTCCTGCAGTGTTGACGCGCCGAGCGCATGCTGGAGTAGGCCAGCGTTGGTCGGTTGCATTCGACCACATGCACGGAGATCTCGGTGTTCCAGATGTCTTACGACGTGGAGGTGGGCACCAAGCCGAGGCGAGGTGTCGAAGGCCGACCCCCCCCCCTCGCACGTTGACGGCCCCATGCGGTCTTCATGGCTGACGCACGGCTTTCCTCCCATGTTCAACGACACCCACGAAACATAACGCAGTCGTCGGTCGTCGTTGAAGTGATTCGACGGGTCGTCCCCGCACGCGTTGAAAGCGACGCAACGACCTGTATGATCATGGATAATTCTCTCCATGACGATGCGATTTTGTGGCGGCCTCTCGTAGCTCCCCCACAAAGCAGAGATGGGGTGCGGTCTAGATGCGTGTCGAGGGGAGCGCAGTCTCACCCCGGCAAGCCACCGGACGGGAGGCGGGCCCAGGCTCTACGCTACACGTCGCGGCGAACGCAACATCAGCGAGCCATCCACGGATGGATGTGCGTGCGCGGCATAGGATCATATCCAGATATTGTTTGCATGACTACTGCGCCAGACCAGTTGGTCGCGGGTGCTGAAGGCGGGTGCGACCTTCTCTCGCCGCGACTCGATTGTGCATCCATGTCTATATATCTACTCTTAGCAAAGGTCCAAGTCGCGGTTCCGGCATAGTCGACGAGGCCACATCACGCTGACTTGGCCTCGAGCGTCGCTGCCTGCACATCAATTTTGTTTTGCGACTGGTTCGCAATGTACCCGAGGCCATACGCCGCCTTAAACGTCGGCAGCCAGTGCGCCCGGAACCACGCGTGCGCGTCGAGCCACCCCGTCGTAAACGGAACAATCGGCACAAACTGCAGGTCCGACGTCGCAGCTTGAATGTTGAACCACCGATGCATGGTAAGCGCCCGGACAGTGAACTTGTTGAGTTTGAGCTTGCGGCCAGCGACCCACCCGATCGCTTCGCTCACGTACGCGGCTGGCCAGAGCAGCCACGTCGGGAGCTTTGCCTTGTCCCACAGCGACGGGAACCCCATCGCGACGACCACTTCGTCCACCGTCTTCCAAAAGTACGTGTACCCTTCCGGGAACGGATGGGTGTCGCCGTCCGTCGCGATGTAAAACTTGCCCAGCGCGGGGCTGCCGGGGTACAAGGCCCGCTCGCCGATGATGAGCGCGTGGGCGTAGTTGTCGACGTGCGTGAAGCACACCTTGTTGTAGCCATAGCCGGTGCCCGGGCTCGAAAACACTCGAAGGGAGCCGTTCCCTGCCGCTTCCAAAATGTTCGGCGTGAAGAGGTTGTCCCGAGGACCGTAGACCTGATGCGGGGCAATCGACACGGTCATGAGGGTCGGCGAGTTGGCGGCCAAGACGGCCATGTCAGCCATCGCCTTTGTTTCTGCGTACTCTTGCATGTAGTGCGGGAGCGGCAACTTGGGCATCTCGTCTTCCGTGAGCCCATCCACGTCCGACCCATCGAATCGCGTCGACGGAGACGACGACAGTACGAGCTTGGTCACGTTGTGCGCTTTGCACGCGTCGATCACGTTCAATGTACCTTCGTAGTTGACGCGCATGTACAGTTCACGCGGATGGAATGGACCGACCGCGGCTGCGAGGTGGAATACGCAGTCCGCGCCTTTGATCGCAGCAAAGACAGCAGTCTTGTCGGCGATGTCACCGACGATATATTCGATCGCAGGATGGTCCCAGTGTCCGTCGGTCGTCTTGGGAACGATGTCGAAGGACACGACCTTCTCCGCGCCGCGCTCCACGAGCATTTCGACGACGCGCTGCCCGACGAACCCGGTGCCGCCCGTGACGACACAAACCTTGGGGACGGGTGGAAACGATCCATTCTCAGCCACTTCGCGCTGCAGCGGAGACAAGAACGGAGAAGGGCCGACGACCATGGTGCGCTGACTCTAGGTGTTCAATTATGCTCCGTCGGGTTCTTCCACCAGCTTGGTCTGCGAGTAAACACTGGGATTAGCGTCGATCTTGACGAATTTTGCCAAATTTTCAAGGAATTTTGGTCAAACTTTCGAGGTTCGTATGCGACTTGTCCAAGTTGCACGGAAGCACCCGTGGGCAAAATGGAGTGCCGCCTGAACAAGGAGCTGCATGGACGACCGCCGCTAGCTTTGGCTGCCGTTGGCCTGCCGTTGCGGGGGATCTCCTGGACGATGCGAGATTAACGTCAGGGGGATGGAGCGCGAGATGCACCTTGCACGTGGCATAGAGGATCTGCTAGCTCTGGTGGTGGCGCTCTCACGCAAACCGATCGTCCACTACTCTACCAAGCCTTATTGCCGAAAACATTTTCGTCAACGCAATGTTTTGGGGGTTTGACGGGAGCTTGACAGCGCGTGCATTTGCACATGACGACTGTCCGCGAGCCTCTTTTGGAGTATTCCCCGGCATCAATGCATTCCGAGCCATTTCGTGGCCGCGGCAGCCTCAAGTGTGTCCAAGCAGACGTATTTGCAATGGCGGACAACACAGCGCAGGATGCGAACTGTAAAAAATCCCGCGTCGTCCATGACGAGGTGGGCAGTCGGTCGAATTGCATCCATCACAAACAAATAGGTTGTCGGATAATCCATCGAAGCACGTGGCACGCAGAGTTATGTGCGTGGTCGGCTGGAGGTGGGCTCTTCCTAGCCAGCGTCGGCATTGGTCGAGTTTATTGGGGTCTTGGGCGTACGACGATATGTCCATGGACGGCCGTTTCCACTGCGTCGTCGACAATCCACAAGATCGTCCTTCATCGCCAGAAGCATGGACTAATTTTGGCGGCAACCGCGGTCTGTTGAGGCATTAGGATGGCGACGGACGAGCTGTTGCACCCCATGGCGAGTTTGCGCGGTTGTGGACATGGCGACGGGATGACCGTGGTGTGCTCATGGGGCACTCGAAAAACACAACAAACTATTGCGCTGTTGTTGTACAAATTCCTCACCACGATCGCATGTACCTTGTCGCACACCAAAGGCCATTGATAACGATAACCTCTTGCCGACTCAACGCGAAGGCTGGTCGGTGGCCGTGAGCGCAGTAGAAGCAACGGTCCCTTCGGTTGAAGCCACCTCTTTGGGCGAACCAACTGACGATGAAGAATACTTCGATGCACCGTCGATTGGTGTTCATGCCGTCAGAACCTGGGCGTGGTGTGTATTGTTGTACTACAATAACTCATCTGCCGCTCGTTCGTTGGGCATTGTACTACATCAACGGATTCCGCCGTCTGTTCGTTGGACAGCCAAGTCGTGGTATGTGATGATGCTGATGGCGATCCAGCAGCAAGTGAGCACCAAGGAAAGGACTGCGGGCAACTCCACACCCACCACGACCGAATCAGACTCTATTCCGTGTGCGTAGAGCTCTCGCAACTGGAGCAGGCCTTCGACATCAACTCCCGCAGATAAGTACAGCTTCATGTCGTCATTGCTGTGGCCTTGCCCGACATCGCGTGTGTGTGAAGAAGAGCAAATCAGCGTCATGATGGACTCCTCAACCAGTCCGTGCAAGTGTTCTAAACCATGAACGGATAGACACGACAGCAAGTGACCTCTCAGTAGAGTAATCAGTAATCGCGGTTCTGTTCTCGAGTTTGCCGTATTGAATTGCACATATGTACACATGCATTCCTGCGTTCAAATGCACACTGTGCTCAAGCCCCTCCCCACAAGATTGACGTCACTTTCTTTTATCTTTACTCGATTCGATGATGAAGTTTTTGTAGTATTCTTTGGTTTCATTCCTTCCTGACAATGGCAAATGCACACCAGTCATTCCACTGGCACGAATCAGCGCCTGTGATTGGGTAAAGAAAGGTATCCGGATAAGTGTTTATCCGTTACTCCCCCTGCTTTCGCCACCTCGCGATTTCGTGCACGGCGGCCGCGGCGGTTCAAGGAGCAGCAGGCGAGTTGAAATACCACGCGGGTGCGATCGGCGTAGCGACACCGCCCAT